TAATAATAATTAACGGTAACAAAAAAAAAACAGTATTGTAACAGTGCTTTCATAACAGCCACATCTGTAGTCATGTTTTCATGGTAGTTAAATTTCATATGAGTTACAGTGCTAGTCGTGCGCTTCTGGTAATTATGCTTTCAAAGTTATTGGAAATTACAAATAATTGCTTTTTATCATAAATGAAACTCAACTTCTACTGGTTTTATCAAACCTGCCGAACGAATAATTATGGACGCTGCGCATAAATTCGTACCTGTTGCTACTGCATGTGCTCTTTTTCAAATCACATTGTCCACCAGACTGGGACCACTTATCATTTGATTTTTATCATTTTTCCTCATCGATAATATTAATAAATAGGTTCATCGTAGTGCTGTCTGGAAATTTTGACCAACTATTTATAAATATTAGTTTCAGTAATTTCACATCACAGCGAATCATCAGCTTCGAGCATACGAAAACGACCCATGTTGTCGGCACTACAACAAGCCAATACAGTACTTCTTGGAGCAACATTTCCAGTTGAAATTGTAAAAGGTATTTTATGTTTTTTGTACGAAAGTGGGACGATGAGCATGCCTTCACAGTTGCTGCCTTTAGTTGCTGGACCAATCTGAGCTAGATTATTGTGAGTTAGTGCTAAATTCAAATGTCCAACGGTTTCCGAGATTTCATTTAATTGTACCTTCATTCTAGAACACTTCCCAGTCATTTAGCAGTTTTGTTTTTCGCCTCAGTATTTTGATAGTGGCGAATATCAAAATACTGAGGCGGAAAACAAAGCATTTTTAAATTTTTCTTTCTCAATGTAACAGAATTGCTTTTACTTCACGAAATTTACTAGAATCAAGTTGGATTAGAAGTATTGGGCCGTAAGCTATGCGCACAGTTATGTTGCTGCAGCTATAATGTTAAGCTGTAATTCGTCTGCCATATTATGATACCGTGCTATTTTATAGTATTTTATAAATCATTTACGAGACTAAGAAAAAGCACTAAGTCGTAATGCGACATGACCACAGCCAATTTGTAAGGAATTTTGATGCTTTTTACGCAGTTTCGGGGAGTTCCACCAGCCTAACAAGAGCCATTTTTCAACGCTTATTTGCCCGTACGAAAGCACAGAGATGCGCATTACAGGAGTCGACAAAAAATACATTAAGAATTACTTATGGTCAGTTGCTGACAGTGTATGCTTCAGGAAGTGGTGGGTTCGGTTTTACAGTTACAAGTCGGGAAACAGCTAATGGTGAGCGACTATTTTACATTGGAACTGTTAAGGCAAGTGGTGCTGCTGTCGATAAACTAAGAACTGGTGATCGTTTGTTACAGGTATCGTGAGTATTTCTTCTATGCCGACCGCACTGGTTAAGACCACATGGTCAGTCAGTGTGGGGATCTGATATTACTGGGATGCACCCACACTTCGGATAGTCCCTTTTGTGCGTATGAGCTACTCTATTTTGCTGCACATTTTAGAGAAGATTTTTATGTGCTGTGTAACAGCAGTACAAAACGCATACTGTCACGAAGTTGCTTGTGTGTGTATGTGTGTGTGTCTGCAGCAACTTTTCCGCAACTTTCAACTTGGAAACCACAGAAGCTAGGAAGCTGAAAATTCAGAGGAATGTTCCCCACCCATGTATGATCCCGCAAATTTAAATTCAGCCTCCCCGTGCTCGCGGGTAACATGTGTGGCCCCGTAGAAGTTTTAGCGGGTAAAATTATTATCACAGGAACCACGGAAAGAAGGCTAAAATTTTGTGAGCATTTCCCCTGCCACATACGACCCAGAAAATTCAGATTTAGCGTTCCCGCACTCCGCACGCCCATAGGGCTCCGTGAAAGTTTCGCGGAGAAAATTATTTTCTCAGAAACCACGAAAGTTGGGAACCTGATTTTTTGAGGCGGTGTCCCCCTATCAACGTGCGACCTCCGCAGATTTGGATTCAGTCTTCACGCACTCCTGGGTGCCACGTACGGCCCCGTGAAAGTTTT